CCCCCCCCCCCCCCCCCCCCTTCAAAATAAAATCTATTATAATGTTGGAATGATGCCCAAGAATCTATTCAAACATTTAATTTTACCCAAACATTGATTTGAACCGTTTTTAAATGTGCCTGTGGTGCACAAACATATTGTGAGATAGCAAATAACATGTAAAAAAAAAAAAAGTTGAATGTCCAAATATGGACAAAAATAGATTTGCACATTTGATCTCAACTATTACCGTATTGACCCGAATATAAGACTATGTTTTTTTCTTGGAAATACATCTGAAAAAATGCGGTCGTCTTATATTCAGGGTCTAGACTTTGACGTGTCAATAATACACCCACAACAATAGGTGGCGCCAAATATGCATAAAACGAGTGTGCCATGAAATACGTAATGTAATGCGTGTTGTAAAGATCACGAGTAATAACAAAAGAAAAAGAAAACCTTACAGCTGCATGAGTCATGACTGTCACGTTAGCCTGATGGGACCAAACTCCCTTTGTGATTTTAAAACGTAAGACAGTACCCAGATTTGAAGACTTCAGTAAGATTTAACTTCTACTGTTAATAAGATTTTGGTAGGCTACTATTAGATGGATAACCTAAATGTCCTAATTCAGATGGGCTACCTGTTTTTGTTTTTTTATGGTATATCAAAACGTGTATATTTTTTAAATGTGATTGTTGGTACATTTTACCAGTTTTTACCATACTTTCAAAACAAAAATTTAAATAGGAAAAATATGCAATATGAAAATAATTGAATACAAAATGTGTTTTACTGAGAAAAAACAAGATTTGGTTTTAAAAAAGCCTTTTTCCAAAAGGTACATCTGGAAAAAGGGGGGTCGTCTTATAAACAGGGTCGTCTTATATTCGGGCCAATACGGTATACACAGAAATCAATTTGAAAATTCAATAAATTGCTTAGAACATTTATATGATGCCCAAAAATCACTTTCAGTGTTAGAACATATCTAAAATTATTTCAATGCCTAATTATACACAAAAAAAAAAATCTAAATGTGAGTTCAAATGCAACTATGATGCACAGAAAACATTTTGATATGGGTAGAAATCTGTTTGAGCATTTGAATGTACACAAGATGCACTAAAATGTTTAAACATTTGAATGGTACCCAAAAATATTTTTAATGTTCATTTCATGCACAAATATCAATAAAAAAAATTTGAATGGTGTCTCAATGCAGCTGTACTGTATGAGGTGCAGAAAATAAATGCCTGGAAATCAGTTTGAGCGTTTGAATACAATTATGATGCACAAGTATTGTTTGATGATACCCAAAATACATACATACACTGAACAAAATTATAAACACAACACTTTTGTTTTTGCCCCCATTTTTCATGAGCTGAACTCAAAGATCTCAGACTTTTTCTATGTACACAAAAGGCCTATTTCTCTCAAATATTGTTCACAAATCTGTCTAAATCTGTGTTAGTGAGCACTTCTCCTTTGCCGAGATAATCCATCCACCTCACAGGTGTGGCATATCAAGATGCTGATTAGACAGCATGATTATTGCACAGGAGTGCCTTAGGCTGGCCACAATAAAAGGCCACTCTAAAATGTGCAGTTTTATCACACAGCACAATGCCACAGATTTCGCAAGTTTTGAGGGAGTGTGCAATTGGCATGCTGACTGCAAAAATGTCCACCAGAGCTGTTGCCCGTGAATTGAATGTTAATGCCTCTACCATAAGCCGTCTCCAAAGGCATTTCAGAGAATTTGGCAGTACATCCAACCGGCCTCACAACCGCAGACCACGTGTAACCACACCAGCCCAGGACCTACACATCCAGCATCTTCACCTCCAAGATCATCTGAGACCAGCCACCCGGACAGCTGCTGCAACAATCAGTTTGCATAACCAAAGAATTTCTGCACAAACTGTCAGAAACCGTCTCAGGGAAGCTCATCTGCATGCTCGTCATCCTCATCGGGGTCTC